CCTGAACAATGAACTGAAAGAATCCTAACTGGGAGAAGCTGACTGCAATGACAGCAATAGTGGTGAAGACAACAACTCCCATGATCCCAGGCTACTTCACAACGTCACCAAACTTTGTCTTTTGTTTTCCCTAGCGGCAGAAATTACTTATATATGCATTTAAGAATCAATAATAACAAATCAGTCCTGCTGGTAAATAACAACATAACACTGACAGGGTCCAGTCTGCATAATGAGTACTTTTACTTTACAAACACTGAATTAATGCTGAATTTGCAAGCTATTTCCTGCCTGTTTTTGGACCGTGGTTGGTGAGGGCTGTCGTGAAAACGTGATCTGACCTTTGACCTTTTCTGTGTCCTTGTCAGCACCAGCAGCCAACTGATAATGGACCTCACAGAATCACTAAAAGCAGGTGGGTACCTGCTCAGTGGCTCTTATGATGCTGGACAACGCACAGACCTGGGACTCGCCACACCAGTTTATGGAGGTTTAAGCAGAGTTCTGCAAATTCTAGATCCTTTAGGGTGGAAACCCTAATGTTGAAAAAATAAATATTACATTAAACCACGCCCGTAAACTCATGAGGTAGCTGTCAGTTGGCAAGATGGATTCTCATGAAAGTTTTCATGTAATTGTGAGAAAATCACCTTACACTTATGACACTCAGCTATAAATAGGCTTAATGCTCAACAGGATCCTCCTCTAACAGGGCAGGTAAACTGCTGCTGTGCTCTGCTGTTGGTCTCAATCAAAGCCAAAAGGTGACAGAGTGGCTGATAAATCATTCATGGGGACTGTTGTGTTATCTGTCTGATTTCTGTGTTGCTGCCATGTTTAATTCATCGTTAAACATGTGACACTTTGTCCTTCCACTCAGTCACTGGAGTGGGATTACCTGTCTGTCTGTGTGCTGCACAGTGTGTGTGCTTTTAGTGTGAGTGTTTTAACCATAAGCCTTCTCATTGTGGTGTCTTCTTATGTACCTGGAGAATTGGCTCCACAATATGTTCCTAATATTTACTTAACAGCAGGGGACGTAAACATGCATTCATTGCCGATTTTTTGCAAATTTGATCAAGATTTGTATGAAAATAAAACATGGTCATTACACATTGTTCACATTGTCATTTGTCATTTAAGGAGGCTTTCACATCAGGGACCTGGACCCGGATCCAAGTACATTTTACCCCAAAGTCCAGTTTGTTTTGTTAGTGTGAACACTGTGTACCGTACCCGGGCACGAACCAACAAAGCACGCCAGGATCCACTTGAAAAGGTGGTCTTGAGTGCTGTTCATGTGTACTCATGGCACCTGTCAGTGGGTGGGATATATTAGGCCTCAAAGTTGATGTGGAAGGAAAAATGTGCAGCGTGAGGAT